CGAGCTGAGTCAATGCCCCGGACCTGGACATCTCCCTGGCGCACTCTGCACTGCAGCCTCTGGTGAGCTCATGAATGGCACGAAGTGACGCCCGTCGCAGACCTAAAGGGTACTCTGGAGCAATGAACAAACCGAGAGATGGAAGAGCGCCTTGTGAAAGCAGCAGAAGTCGGTTGGCATGCGTGTCAGAAAGGTAGACAAGTGCCCGGGCAGCAGATTGGACACATTCCACCTTAGGAGCACAGAGTTCAGGGGCTGGAGTCAATGAGGAGGGAGAGGATGGATGTGGAGAGAGAGACAGGCAGAGCAGGAGAAGTGGAACACCACCTGAGTGAGAGAGACAGAAACATAATGATTTTATGGTTTTGAGTGTTTTACTATCTCTAATTGTATATAATGGAGGAGAAACATAATTATTATTATATTACTTTAAACATATAAAATTCTGGGACTAACCTGCAGAGTGGACCTCAGCAGAACCCTCTGGGTCCATCGCAAGATTTCCTAGTGCTCGTGCTGCTAGATTTTGCACGGTCTCCACAGAGACATTCCTCTTGAGGACATCCACTACAAAAATGAAAGATTGTAACCATTTGATCATAATTATTTATGCAAATGAGCAGCATTTTTTGTAGTGACGCCATAGGAAAAAAACATTTTGGTTACCCCCCAAAAAACTTGTTCTCAAAAGAACCATTTTTGTTCAGTGTAAAGAACATTTTAACAGTCTAAAGAACCGTTTTCCTCTATAATGAACCATTTGTGCAATGAAACGATTCCATGGATGTTAAAGGTCCTTCATGAAACCAAATGTGCTAATGAAAAAAACTTTTTTTTTTTGCTGTGATCTCATGTGAGTGACAGGTTGGTGGGGGTCATCAGGGAAGAAATGTCATTGCAAGGGGGAGAGAAGCTATGATTGATATGATATGATATGATATGGCACATGAATTTATGATTAATGATTAATTAGTGATAATGATGTGCACTAATGAATCATTTATAATACTCATTGCAATATTCCAAAAATAAAAAGGAACTGTCAATTCTGATTTCATGACTTTAAGAAGTTAACGTTACTGAGTGATTTCACAGTGCTGTATGTTTTTTTATTTTTATGCACACATATAAAAATATTAAAAATATGTGTGGAAAACCATGTCAGATGTCAGTATGTACAGGGCATAAGAAGTAACTGATCTTTATGAAGCCTTTGTGTGACTTACCAACAACAGATACGCCATCAAGCTTTCTTACCTATGAGAAGAAAAAACAAAACAAATTTGATCATATACAAACCAAACAATGAAAGCCGCATATATATAATCAATTCAAGCTACACATTAAAGCAGCATCTTTCTTACTTCTAGTCTTGTCTGTTTTTCAGTGCAGCAGTTCGCCAGGATGCTAAGTGCCAGGTCCAGAAACTTTCTGGAGCTTTCTGGTCGCCTGAGGAGATCCAGCAAAGGAGGGAGTCCTCCTCGTGATTGGTAGCGGGCTATCCTGCTGCCACCTCCTTTGATATGCTGCATCCGAATGGCCACCAGTGCCCTCCACTGACCAGCTTTGAGTCTCTTGTCTGCATCCCTGGCTTTGTCACCTTCAGTGATGGGCTTATTGTCTGCTCCTGTCAGTCCACTGCTGTGACTGTCTGCTAACATGCGTGTTTTGGACAGCTGAGCCAAACACCAGGTCAGAGAGGATTCTGTGAGAGTGGCAGATGCCTCTGAGGTGCTGTTCGAACTTTTTGGATGTCGTTTAATTCCTTGTTCTGGAGGTGTAGACATGATGAACCAGGAGTCCAGAAGCACCTCCCCACCGCCACCCCCTGTTTTGTAACTTATTTTATCTTCTTAATATTGTAAGGTACAACAATATTTCAGTGGCTTTAAATAACTTTGCAACAACACCAAACTCTTATTATATGTAGAATTACAAAAAGAAAAATAAATAAAAGAACACAGGAACTAATACAAAATTCTCCTATGATTGACACATTCCATCCACAGAGAAACAAGCATTCGATAAACTACAACTACCATGTTCATCAATTAAAGCAAACCCAGAGCAATGACTTCTGGGAAATGAAGTATTTTACCCAATGCGATATATTTCATTACGGCCTACAGTGGAAGGTAGGCCACAAAAAATAAATTCCTTGACAGTGCAGCCTAAGATTAATCTATTTGGGTGTATTTTGATGTTTCGATGAAGAGTGAGAAGGCTTCGTTAACTTTTCATCTTACTCACGTCAAATTTCCTACGCGCTACAAAGCGCAATCGCTTCAGATTTGCACAGGCGCCATCTTTAGTAGAGCAACAAACAGGAGAGTTTTTTTTCCAGAAAGGGAGGGGTATTTGTAGACTCGGTCTCTTTAACGCTTATGGGAGTTGTAGTTTCAGGATAGCGCAACTATTGACTTTATTTAACACATCAGATAACGGAACAATAAAAACGGCATGAATTCATGTATGCAGATATTTATTTTGCCATAAAGAAGAAAACAGGCTGTGCGTTTTGACTTCCTACCTTGCGCGCGAAACGCTTGTAAAAACAATGGCAAGCATTTCCCACAATCCCCCGTCACACGCATGTTCATTTCCGGAAAAAAGACAACAACACCCTGTTCGGCGCTGTCTGGTGCGAACGAGGTCGTTGTTATTATCATCGCTGTAGCTCGAAAATAACTCAGCGCTGGAGTTGTTAAAATCCACGATTAGTCGCAATAACGCTTGACGAGATTAATATAAAATAAATGCAACATGGAGGTCATTGAGTCAATTGTCACAGACGCCATTGAGGTGGAAGACTCAACAACTACGGTTACGACTTTGGAGACCGAAAAGTCCAAAGCAGGTAAGATGTGAGTAAGTGAGTGCAGCAGTGTGCGCTAGGCATCGCCAGCGAGGAGGACACGGTGAGCCTGATGGTTCAGATTGGCCTTCCCAACAGTTTTAGGTAACTTAGAAAAGCTTCAGACCTCTTAAAACAAAAGATTTCTTACGGTATGTTTTAATTAGTGTGCATTCCTAACAGTTTTCTAGAATATTTTAATTGCGTGTAATATTTTCTAATATTTTGGATACAATATATATTTTTGTGCAATAATAGTACAAGTTAAATAAAAATGTAAATTTTTATTATTTTTAATATAACCTGAGAGATTGCAGTCCCTCTATTGTCCTTACAGCCTAATGCTTCAAAAAGTTCATAAAGACATAAGGAATTCATATAAATTGAACAGTTTAATCCAGTAAAAGTCTTCTGAAGAGACACGATCACTTTATACTATTAACATATTTAATTTAGACTTTAATTCATTTAATTTATTCATTTTATTTGTTAGCCTAAATTAAATGTTCAACAATAGAAAGTGATAATTATACACACACACACACACACACATATAAATAAACCTAATTGTGATATGTTCTCAACATTTAAACAATTTAAGTCTTTAAATATTACATTTCCTCCTAAATATGTGTTTACATTCTTGTTCTGGAATAACTAACGATCTACTCATAATCTTTTTCATTCAGAGTTTGTGTGGACACTACAAGCTACATGGCATCTCGTCCATGTTCGTTTGGACATGGACCCAGAGTTCGACCAGCCCGTGTGCAAAAAGAAGAAGCTGTGGGAGACTGTGGCTGAGAGAGTGACTGCAAAGCTAAGAGCCGAGGAAGGCACAGACGTTTCAGTCAAAGCCTTCGAATGTGACCTGAAGTGGAGAAACATGTTAGCGACGTATCGCAAAAATGCTGAGCGAGCCAAAAGATTGGGAACCAATAGTGTTCACTGGGAGTTCTTCAAGGAGATGCATGAAGTGCTGGGAAGGAGCTACGAGGAGGTTGAGGCTCAGCGCAAGGCGAAGCTCAATGGCACCAAGCTGGGCAAGGCCATAGCCAGCAAACGATTTACCCCGATACGTCCCACACCCACCGCTACAGCTCCACAGTTACCCAACGCCAGGCCTCCTCAGGATTTGCTGCAGTTGTACCTGGAGCTGCAGGAGAGGAAACTGAACATGTGGGCTCAGCAGAAAGCGCTGGAAGAGAGGAAGATAGAGGCCATCAATAATTTGGCACGTGCCATTACTTGCCTGTCCCAGGACAATACCATGCAAATGCCCAAAGAGAGTGAAATGTCAGACACCCCTATTTCCCAACAATAGGAATTAGTTGTGTATTTATCATTGTCTTTTCAGATAAGAAATTGATTTTTATTTTTAGAGAAATGCCTGATATGTTGAACCCTTTTCAGAGAATTAAAAAGACTTGAATTGAACAGCGACTTGTTGAAATATGCTTGGTTTTCCTTTCCTTCATTATGAATTGCACAAATATAAATGAGCAGTTTAAATGGTCACATTCATGTAAAATGAGAAAAGGACAAGTTGTACATAGTATTTTCGTGTTTTAATAAAAAACAGAGAAAATGTTTGCCACAATTTGTTTTTCTGCTAAAGCTTCCTTCATACCACCAAATTTTCATTAATTACACACAGGGATAGTTCACCCAAATATGACAATCCAGTCATCATTTCCATATCATTCCAAAGTTTGTGACTGTGTTTTGTTTTGATATGAATGGACCAGCGTTATCATTAACTTAAACTAAAACCATAATAAATCAATACTTGAAATAAAATTAATATTAACTGAAATAAAATACAAAAAAATAAACTTCTCAAACATAAATTTTCACTTTCGTTTAGTTGAAGTTGCAGTACCAAAATAACAAACTAAATGTAAAAAAAAAAAAGTAAAAAAACTAGTTTAAATTGTTGCATTCATGTAAAATGAAAGGACAAATTGTACATTATATTTTTGTTTAAATAAAAATCATACAAAATACGACAATTCTTGCTGCAAAACTTTCTTCATATCATCAAATATCCATTAATTACACACAGAATCTTACAGCTTTAAAGTGATAGTTCAACCAAAAGTGACAATCCTTTTATCATTTAAATGTCATTCCAAACCCATAAGACTTTCGTTCATCCTGAATACACAAATTAAGGTATTTTTAATGAAACCTTGGTCCATTCCACCAAAACGTTGATACTTAGTTCAAAAACTTATTGTGGTGCTGCTTCCAATGTGCTGTAAAGCAGATTCACTACAGTCTCCCTCATTTTCACCCCAGCAGCATCTTTGTTTGCCTCCTCCATGTCTTCTGGTGTGCTTCTCTCTACAAGTCCCTTTGTCACGTCACCCATGTCCAGAAAAACATTGTGTAATATACAAGCAGTCAGAACCACCGCTTTCGCCCTGTCGTAGTTTCCCATATCCAAATATCTCAATTTCTGGAATCGCTCTTTTAAGTCTGCCACAGCCTGGTTGAATCGGCCTAAATGGTTCCCCACCGATCTGTTGTAGAGGTTTTCCTGCGGGTTTCGACCTGGTGAAAATGGAGTAAGTATTTGTTCTGTGAGCGGGTATCCGACTCCGGCTATCAGGCAGGTTCCTGGAGGCACCATCTCAGAGTTTTGCCGAATCCTTTCAGCTAACGCACTTCCTCTGTCTTTTTCCAATCCTTTGCTGATGTGGCAGTAAATGAAGCGACCCTTGTCATTGCAGACCAATTCCAAGTTCAGCCATGAATCTGGATGTGGTTCGTTCTTTGGTCTATTGGCTTCTGGAGTGTCACTATCGCTGTCCGGTTTGCCAGCAGGCAGGCGGATGGGGATGCGTGTGTCACCCAGCACACCGAGCACTCGAGGAAGACCTCTCTCTTCCAGACCTTCATTACGACTCAGCCAGCTGGAGAAAGGAAGCAGATGTTGTTGGGCCTCCTGTCCTTCAGGGCGAAAGGAGAAAACAGCTGTACAGTGAGTAAACCAGCTTAGTGACTACAATAAGTAAGTGTTATTTTATTATCATTAATATACTATTATAGTTTCTGTTATTATTTTGAATTAGATTTTAATTTTATATTTTCTGTTTTCCTTGAAATTTTAATGTTTTAGACATTTTGTTATTTTAGTACTTAAACTTAGACTAGTGGTCGACCGATATTGGTTTTTTGACAGCTGTAGCAAATTAGCTCAAAAGGGAAATGTATATAAATAATTACAGTTAATTATGATTAATTACAATTATTTATATCAGCTGCCAGTAGTAACTGTATCAGAATTTAATTGCCATCAACCAATCTGTTCGTCCAGCGAACAATCAGTGTAAGTTCATATAAACTCTAGTAAAGGATATTTCCGTGGCCACAGAAAATACTTTCATAAAATATTAATGCATTAGAGCATGTAGCAAGGATCAAAATCGTAAAGGGACATTAATTTGCAAGGCAGCACGGACCGACCGTCATGCAGAGTACACGCGATCGTGCAGGTGATTCGACTAAGTTTGCAAGGTTTTTGAAATTAGATGTTCATTAGTCATTCAAAGATTTGTTTAAATGATGTAAATGCGTATTTTCTGAATGCTGACGGCAAACGAGATAGTATTATAATGTTTGCCTTTCTATTACTAACAATATAAAAGCAATCGTTATAATACTTTAATACATTTTAATTCCTTTGTTTAACAGTTCTATCTGATTATTAGACAGACTTCTGTCCGTGGACAGAACTGTTAACGACGACAGCGAACAAGAGGGAGAATGTGAGCGCTGTGTGTTCAGGCACTGCCGCTCTCAGCGCAGTCAAAATAAAAGTCCCGCCACGAACGCATCGGCCAAACAGATATATCGGTTGACCACTAACTTAGACTAAATGAAAATGAAGAGAAAAGTTATTTTTTCATATTATTTTATTTCAGTTAATGTTCAATTTAAAGAAATGAAAATATTTTTCCATGTTTTAGTTTTAATTATAATATGAATTAATTAATTAATGCAATGCGAACCGTGACACTGTATGTTATGCATTTGCATTGACTTCTAAAAATTTGTGAACAAAAAAAAAACTTTTATTCTTCTAAATTCTAAACGTTTTTATTCAAAATTTTACTCTTCTGTATGTAAATTATAAAATAAACTAATAAAAATAAATTAATATATAATAGTAATATATTTATCTATTTTTAAACCAATTTCATCATGTTCTTGCCATGAAAATAGGCTTAGATTCTGAGATAAAATAATTGTGTGGACTAATTAACTCTGTAGGCCTGTAGTACCTGCAGGCCACTGAATGAGCTGATCCTTTTGTGCGATCACTTGATCACAGAAAGAGAAGAAGATCCTGTGAATATTTCCCTTCTCCAGATGGAAACTAGAGGACACGCTGCGATAGCTGATGCGTTTGGACAGGAGGGTGAGGGACAGAAGGACAGTGTGAGACAAGGACAGTCGAGCTCTTCCAGACAATCGGTTCTTGCTGTAGCTTGTGTTGGAGCTTTGCAGAAAATTTGTCACATACTGCAAGAAATAACAAAACAACATGATGTAAAGCAGTGGTTCTCAACCTTTTTAATTCTCTCTTTTTCTCTTTTAATTTGCTATAATATTTTATAATATTACTGTTTTACTGTATTTTTTTTTTATCAAATAAATGCAGCCTCAGCATATATATATATATATATAGGGCTGTGTATCACCAGCAAAGTCACGATACGTATCACGATACAGAGGCCACGATACGATACGATACGTATCACGATACATGACTGCACTGAATTTCACCTCAGCAGAATTTAGAAAAACGGCTGTTTATTTAACACTGCTTACTATAGTGCCATTTCTAACTA